TGAAAACTCCCATCCGTGCTATTTTTGTAGAAGCAAGTAGTACCCATCTTCCTTTGGGAAAACAAGAATTATTTTTCATGAGATTCTGAACTATTACAACACAAATTCACAACCATAAATGTGTTATAAAAACCAGGGTGTTTTGCATTCATATGCATGTACAATGGAACCTTGTAGTAAAATCTAGGGGGACAGAACCAATACTACTGGGGTTGTGTGCCTTTGACCTTCCAGGGCTGCCTGGTTTAAGCAGATAATTTTAAAGATTAAAGTTAGTTCATTAAATTGACAACCAATGGTTTAACATGTAAGAATTTTCATATAAATCACATCACAAGTCAGATAAAAACCTTTTGTCAGACAACGTTTTCTAAGGTTTGGGTCAGAATCTAATGTACACCATGGTGATCAGTTGTATTACTTTAAATTTTTATTGGAAGTGCCTAATGGTTAGTTGTTAAAGTATGGCATTATTTGTCTAGATTTGCATATCAACAGGAACAGCAATAATAACTAATTTCTGTTGAATGCTTACTATTGATATATACAGATACTGTGCTAGAAGCTGGGGATATAATGGGAAGCAAAAAAGAAAAACAACAGTCTTATGTTGCTAACAACCACCTACGAAGTAGGTATAGACAAAGAAACAAGTTCATGGTGTTTAAATAATTTGTCCAAGGTTAGGTAACTAGTGAACAGCAGAGCTAGAATTATAGTGCTATATTTGTTACAGCAGCCTAACCTATATGCAGGTTAAGAGACTCCAAAAACACAGTTGCCAAAACAAGCTAGAAGGAGCTCCCTGAGAGAGTAGAGCCGCCATAAAAGCTCTGGGCTGCTTCTGCTTAGATTGTTGGGTGAGGGAGAAATGAACTTGCGTCGTACCACTCTCTGTTATTGCTGGGAGTTGGCCTCATTCACATGTCTGAAGATACATGAGCATTCTCTTTAAAGGCATTCCCTAGTTGTTGAACTCCCAACTTCTACTCACATCCTGCCAGCCACACTGGCTGCGAGGAAGGCCTGAAAATATAGTCTTTGTGGCCGTGTACTTCTCAAAATTCAGGAGTTTTATTAATAAAGGAAAAAGGGGAGAAGGGAACAATTGGTGATCACACCTCATGCTAATTAAGAGCACTGTTTCAAAGTGGAGTTTTGGCCACAGACTTGGACAAGTGACAAATGATCTCATGACTTTGGGATATGCCTACATCCATTATTCATTATTTTCCAATGAAAGAAATGTGCATCAAGGTTATGTACATAATTCATATATATAGGATGTGTATGATCTATTTCAATATTCAAATATGTGAGATATCATGATTATTACATGATTCTACAGTGGACTCTGGTCCTCTACAACTGGTTATTCAAAATTTCCTAATAGAAGCCCACTCACTGGCTTTAATCTTTGGCAGGAAGGCTTGCAAAACCCCAGGATCTGTCTTGCTTGTATCCTCACCCTCAAAAAGATCTCCTACTCAGAGATTTATGTTGTAAAAGGTGTGCTCTTAGAGAAATGGCTTTATAGAAATAAAATTACTCTTAAGGTTTTAGTGAGGCATGTATTTAATACAAAAATCATGAACAACTCTGACCCAGAACTTCAAAGTTTCCTAGACTTCTTGGTCTATTCTGATAAAGTTTAGACATTTACTATAGAAAAGCCAATTCACAAGTATTTATTGAGAATATACTTAGATAGTAGGTATGTTGAGATGGACCCACAAATCTTTACCCAGGTATCTCCTGTGGCTACAGGTACTGGGAGGAGATAAGCACAGGACAGACCTCAAATACACACACATATTGTATTTCCCCATGTATAAGGTGCACCCTTTTTCAAAAAATTTGGGGTCTAAAATCTGGGTGCATCTTGTACAGTGGTTGTAGATTTTTTTTTTTACTTGCATTTCCTGCTTTTTTCATGCTTGTTTTTGTGCTCATACAACCACTGTATAAGACATACCCAGTTTTTAGACCCCCAAATTTTTCGGAAAAGGGTGCGTCTTATACATGGGGAAATATGGTACATTCTTATTTGTTGCCTTGGTACTCCCCCCAACCCCCCCATACTCCTGAACCTAACACAGTCTCTGATGAGCTCAGGTACCCATGTGGAGCTGCTGGGAAATATTGTGTCTTGTACAGACAGGCTTCTTTGGCCCTTTCTCTTGGGTCCAGCTCACTAGTGAGTAGATAAGGCAGGAGCAAAGACAAAAAAAAGAAAGAAAAGGTTTAAATTAGAGCTAGTCTAATGAGTCTGCCCTAGGCCTTACCTGGGGGGCTGGTGTTGGGGAGCATCTCCCAAGTGGGAGGCAATTCCATACGTGTTTTGCCTCACTGGCTATGGAAGTATAGAAAAGCAACCCAAAGAGATTGAGAACCCAAGAGACAAACCCTAAACAGACCACAGCCTACAGAAGGCAAAACTTGAACCTCTTTTTCTTATTATACCAAAAGCTTCACTCCCTTTTAAGAGGTGTAGTTGAGTCCAGTAATTTGATTGAGCCTTCCATCCCTTTTCCTGCATGGGGCTGGGGTTGGGGAGTAGAGTAAGTAGGGGTAGGGGGAAGATGGAAGTGAAACTTTGCTCTCCCACTAGAGGTCAACATCAAGTACTTTGGAGGCACCATAGCACATACAGGGCATGGCCTTTCTTCCAGTTCTCAAAGAACTTAACAGTCTGTCCTGGGAGCTAATGTATATGAAACATTTAGTGAAAACCAACTACTTAAACTGTGTGATATTGATTATTCCAGAGGAATCCAGATAAGGGATAAGTCAATGTGGATTTGTTTCTTGGGGAAAGCTTCTTAGATCATGTCACAAATGAGGTGATTAAGAAGGCAGAGATAATTAAGAAGACAGAAACAAGGGGGTGAACAAAGATTCTGAATAAGCTGAGAGGACAGTAGACCTGTGTGCCTGAAGCTGACTTCATATCAGAGACTAGGAAATGCGGTGGAATAGGAAAGTGGAATAGTTCAAAAATTAGGCAGGGGTGAGGCTATCAGTGGTCGTGTAAGATTTTTTTTTAAGTTAATGGTAACCTTTTAAATTTTTTATGGAAGGAAGTGAGGATGAATTAATTGACTGACTGAATGAATGAATAAATAAAAGATAGATATTATAAAAATATTATAGTGTTAGAATTTGTCTAGGGTGGGAAGAGGGGGTTGCTATGCAGGATCTCAGCAACATAGGTTGCCAGGAACAGGAGGAACTCAAGACTAGGTATGTCAGGGCCTGGGAGCCTGGCTGCACCGTCCTCAGTGACTAAGATGACGTGATGATCTCAGGATTGGTTTGGGGAAAGTGTTGGACCTGAGGAGACCCAGATCAGCAGGAGGTTTGAGCAACTAGAATGTAGATAGCAGATGAGATTCAGTCAGGGAGGGTGGGGTCATGGCAGTGGATCCCAGCTGGATCCCAGCCAGCAGCTGGAGTCCTGGAATAGAAGCTGGGGTGGAATCGTACCAGGGCCCATGTCAAGTAGATTTAAGTTTGCGGCAAGGCACAAGGCATTACAAGAAATGGGAAAGCTGGTCAGCGCAGGAGCCAGTTCTGAAGACTGGGGCCACATATCTGGAGTTAGTAGGGAAATCGTGAGAGAAATGATAACAAAGCAGAGTGCAGAGCAAACTCAGTAGAACTCAATGTATTTGTGGCCAAAAAGGAATTCCAGCTCCTCTATCTGGTGGGCAGAGGTTGATCCTCCTTTCCCTGCCTGCTGAGGATGGGCTGATGGTCACAGCTGCACCGCTCCTTTTAAGTGGAAGCTTGAGGGGCCCTAGCTGGAGGGATATTGGAAAGAGTGGCTGAAGTGGAGGCCTGGTGGAGGCAGCATCACTGGGAAAGAGCTGAGACGCCAGCAGAGGAGACCTAGGCATAGCTAAGAGGCTGTCATATTCCAGGGTGAGGAGAACAGGAACTGACAAAGGGGGGAAGATTTAGTGGAAATTCAGAAGAAAAGGGTTCTGCAAAAGACATTTCAAATTAAGAAGTAATAGGCTTCAGTGACAAGTTTGATATAATGGATAGAGAAGGAAGAGCCTAAAATGATTCCAGGTGGATTTGAAATGCTCGTGTAGTATGACATTTTTGCTCATGAGCTGAAAGGCATTTTAAACATGTATGCAGTTGCTTTTGGCCTAGTTTTAAAAACCCAAATAAATAAAGTTAGTTAGCAAATAAATTAAGAGTATTCAGGCTAGGATTATTTGTGTGTTTGTTGGCTTTATATCTCATTGCAATGGGTCTGCAATGGGACATTTCAGAGAGACAGTAGCCCTTGAGTATGTGAATGAATAGAAATGTTTCTTGCAAAGATGTCTGTCTTCCCTGGTTTATGATAGTGTTACATGCGTGGATCTGATTGAAAAGCCTGTGGTAGGACCCATCTGGATCCTTCCACGCTGCCCTTACCGGGCCTTTGTCACTGGAGCCGATGTTTCAAGTGTTTATAGTGTGCCTCTTTTACCCACCTGGTTAGCTCAGAGCTTTGCAGAAGAAAGTGTGTTCCTACCTGGCCAGATAGCTTCACAACAGGCTTCCCTATCTGCAGTTGTTTCCTAGCCATCCACTTTGGTGCTACATGATGGGACACAGGCAGGCAGGGCTTATACTCGTCATGAAGGGATCGGGCTTGGGGCCTCAGGAGGGATTTTATTCCTGTTTATCATGGCAAGGAAAGAAAACACAGAACCCTTACCTGGGTAGGGAGCCCTTGTTTTCAAAATGCACAGCTATGTGCTGTTTCTGATTTGGTTTTGCCTGGATCTGCACCTGGAGGTGGCATGGATTTCAAAGTCACTATTTAAGGTAAGGAAAGAAAACTTTAAACAGCATTATCACCATAAAAGATCCTCGTTGTATTTTTGAAATGTTGAGCTAAATAATTTTAGTGATCGTCAAGCGACCATCCATTGTACTTCTGAGAAATTGTTTTTAGAAAGGCTTGGATTAATAATTTGTTTCCATTTTGTTCACAGATGTACTGTCTGTAGGACACGGGTATACTGAATACCTGCTTCAAGTCACCTTTCACATTTTCTCATTGGAAAAACAACCGTTGGAGAGTCATCTTGTTACCGTCAGCAAAAGTGGAAACAAATCAAGACATTTAGAATGGCACGGTGGCCAGCAGTTAATGATGCCAATGTTACGCAAGTCAGCTTCGGCAAAGGAAGTTTTCAAGACAGTCTGCTCGCTAGCCAGAAGTCAGGAAAAATTGAACCTATTCTTTCCATCTCAGCTGCTCCTTAAATCAATGCAACTCCTCCACATTAATGTGAATTGAAACATGCATTGCCTTTCAACTTAATTGAGTACTTACTATGTGTGAATCACTGTACGAAACGGGAGGGAAAATAAGGGAGACAAGATGTGGTCCCTACCATCCGTGGGTTTACAGTTAGTTTCAGTGCACATATTTTTTTGTCTTCTGTTCTTAATTAAGTGTGTCTCTAATACAGGAAATGAATGAAAGAGTGTATTCTGTAAGTATTTTAAGTTCCTTTAATAAAAAAGCAAACAAACAAAAAACTAACGTGGGCAACTCAGGACATCTTTAATTCCATTTTTTTGGACTTTTGATAGGTAAGATTCATTTTGTTGATTCCATAAACATTCAGACTTTAGAGATATTAACACATTGTAGTTGCAGTTAATTTGAATTAAATTCCTTTTCCCTCCTTAGGTGTAGATGGTCTATTGGAAAAACGTTGTGTTTGTACATTTCTTGGAGAGGTGAATTACATCTGTTGTCTCAGTAGGCCTTCCATGCCCTAGGGGCCTGCCATTCGGAGTCAGTTATAAGCAGGGAAACAGGAAGGTTTGGATCAAACTTAGGGGTCCTTGCTCATGGACCCAAGATAGGGCAGAGAAGGAGCCAAACAGACCTGGACAATGGCTCTCTCTGAAAAAAACTGGCTATTTCAGTACTTACTGTGTTGCCCTCTATGTTTGTTTGTTTGTTTGTTTGTTTTTAGCTAAGCCATCCTGCCACCTGTTGGCAGCTCAGTGGCAGCTCAGCTCAGGCCGTGAATCGAACCGGCGACCCTGTTGCTCAGAGCTCGCACTCTTGAGCGAGCTCTTAGCCAACTGAGCTGCTTGGCCGGCCCTCCCCTCTATGTTTTATAAGTTGAGTGATGACAGTTTTTCCAAAAAAATTATTTGTGATCTGGGAGTAGGTCATAATTTCTCCAAGACACAAAAATGATTGCGGACACTAGACATTTCATGTAGTGTGTGTGTGACACATTTTAGTATGTGTGAGCCAACAAGTGACATGTCTTTGTCTTGAGTAGTGTCCATCTGAATTGAAAATGTGCCAGCTTTTTAACGTTATCAACAGACTTCTTAATTAAGCTGCCAATATACACTGCCAATAGTACTGTGTGTCACCTGACAAATGAATTGTGTAAGTGCCGTTTCCCTCTTAGTGAATAAGGAATGTTGCTCCGTATAAAATGGATTTAAGGTATTCTTTTTTTTTTTTAAAGATTTTTTTATTGGGGAACTGGGGGGATGGGAACAGTGCTGGGGAATTGGGGGAAGGGGAACAGACAAGTTGCTGTCTTTTTGTTCTTCAGTCTAGTTGTGGAGGACGTTGCTTCACTGGCCCAAGCTGGCACCATCATTGCGCTCTTCCCGGGTGAGGCAAATCAGTCGCCGGCTTCTAGACGGCCACTCACTGCGGCTGCTGGCCGCTCACGCTGGCTGCTGGCTACACACGGTAGCCCATGGCAACCCACTGCCACAGGGGCTGCAGCCTACGCCGTCGCCGGCAACTCACGGCAGCCCAGCTCCAGGTTGAGCTGTTGTTCAGCATCTTAGCTGTGGAGGGCAGTGTCACTGGCCCTCATATGTGGGATCTGAACCGGGGCCCTCTGGCGTCCCAAGCCAGTTCTTAACCATCGTGCCACTCGGCCGGCCCTAAAGTATTCTTTGAATGGGGCTTTATATTGCTCCCTAAAGAATTTGATGAGAATTCTCATACCATCTCTTTTCATTTGATTTCTTAAAATTTTGTTTTGCTTCTCAGTAAGAAATTGCTCTAATTTGACCAATAACTTAGTTATATGATTCATCCTTAATCAGATAAATCGCCCGGCCCCCAATCTCTTGATGGTGAAATTGTGTGTTTGTTATCTCACTTTTAGTTTGTAGGAAGTAGCTTCCAGGAAATCTGAGTTATAAACCTTTATTGTACTAAATTGTAGATGTTTATTTTCTGTTCTGGGAGATTTTTTGGAGGGACAATCTCTGTATTCCTGGTGCCTAGCACAGTGCCTGGTGCATACTAGGTCTGTGTTCAGCAAATATTTGGTGATCAAGGAATGTAACGTAGCTTTCTTCATCTGTGGTTTTTAAGTTTCTGTAAAAGACAGAGGGGTCTTGCTAACTAGAGTAGTACCTTTATTGGTTTGTAGTTTGCAGTCAGTCTACTTGGAACCAGTCCAAATCAATTGGCTACTTCATATATATAGTCTAGTCCACTAGGCTTCTTATTTGGTGTTTTGGATTCACCAGCGCGGCCCTGTGGTTTGTACCGCCATCCACTCTGCCTGCCCTGCCCCTGCCCGCTCTGCACAGGGGCGGGGCCTTTGGAGGGGCTGCTCCTCTTTCCTGCTCTGGCTTGTTGGCAGTAGAAGAGCAGTCACTCTGTTCACTGGGTGCTCACAATGACCAGGCGCTGAGCTAAGTGCTTTACACGTACCCTTTTACTTAATTATCTCATGTAAACCGCACAACAGCCATTTGCAGGAGGTATTATCCACTGTGGAGAGATGTATCTTGCTTAAATCATGGGGATCTAAATCCAGATCTCTTAGATTCCAAAGCCTGTACGATTAACCCCTACCCTTGGCTGCGTCCCGGAGGAGCTCCCAGAGCATGGTGGTGGGGGAGCCCATCAGGTCTGGATGTCGTCCAGATTCACTGCATTTTCTATCCTCCAACAGCGAACTGTCTGACTGATGAAACACAGCAAATCACGATTACTTTGAGAATGGGGTAAGGCAGAGCAATTGGGAGAAAGCAAAGTTGGGAACAAACCAGTTTGAGTTAAACCTTTAGCCTTTAGCTCATAATGTTTCTGGTTTTTTTTTCAACTTTCTTTTTTTAACATGGCCTGACACCATGTGATAAATCAAAGCGTGACGCAATTGACCCAGAATTGATCCCCAAATGTCTTTGAGGGGAACATGCTTTAACTCTGGTTGTTGATTGTGAGGAATAATTGCCACCCCGGAAAGGTAATTACACACGCCGTTGTTTATCCTCACAATAGGCACAGAAGGCGTGTTCTGCTCCGAGGGGCAAAGAAGCCTACTTGCACGTTAGGGCCGTGCGCTGTGCATTGGGTCAGAGGCCACAAAAAGCATTTGGGCTGCTCCCTGTTACTGATGATGTCCCCGGCGTGTGTGTGCATGTGCGCATGTGTACATGCATATGTGTGCATGTGTGCGTGTGTGCATGTGTGTGCGCGCGCGTGCATGTGTGTGTGTGTGTGTGTGTGTGTGTGTGCGCATGTGAGGGTGGAAGTGAGAAGGGGATGATGGGCTGCTTGTTGTGCTGAAATGGCAGTGATTTGCTTTTCCTTAATTTTTTAGTATTTCAAAACATCTTCTGGATCTGATTCATTTAGCTTGGTCTGGTAAAAAGATTGTTTTCTTCCTGCTTGGCATATGCTTATTAATGAGTTCTCATATTTCTTTCCATCAAGGGCTGTTTACTTTGTGGCAATATAAAGTGAGAATCCTTCTCCACAACATCCTCCTAAATGCCCTGGTTTTGACCACCCCTTTAAGTAAACCAAACAGTCAGCGAAAATGGTAGCCAGTGCCTTTCCTTTCCCTCACTGTGCTTTCTGGTAAAACATAAATGGGATTTAAACCACAAATGGCCAATTAAAGCACGTCATGCCTTTTTCCTTGAGCCATAAGACAGTAGTTATCCTAAGTAAATACAACAAACAGGCTATTTTGTGGTAGTCTAACCCTAGCAACATATTTTTTTTTTAAATGAAAGCCTTATAAAAACAAAATGTCATGACTTTTTGTAGTGCTGCACAATGAAAGAAATACAGATGTATTCCAATATGGAACCGGGCATTGTTTAAGGCTGGGGCAATTCATCCTGGGCTAGTCTCTGCCGCAGTGTCCGGCAAATTGCATGACCTGCTTGTTAGGCTTGACAACAGTGTTTTACCTAACAAAGGCCTCTGCAGCGCCAAGCAGCAGTGGAATGTCAGAATGAGCACATTTCACACACAGATGTGCAGCCATAATAGCCTATAAGAAGATGCATGTGGCAGGGAGCAAAGGTGGGGGCTGGGTACTGGCAGCAATGTGGTGTGTGAGTGTGTAGGTTGGGGGCCCGTGGGAGGGGGAGGCCAACAGTTAGCAGTAGGGACATGGCCCCACTGACCACATTTAATCAGCCCTCTGTAAACAATTCAACATTTTCATTGTTCTCTAAAAACTAATAAAGAGAAACAAGCACTTTTCATTCATCTTGAAGTAATTTTCTGTCAGGTTGCAGCCCCTTGTGGCCTCCAGCTCTTGCAATGCTAGCTGTGTGATACAACAACTATTGCAATTTATTTTACAAACTCTGGTCATTCACATGTCAGTTAGTGTTCACCAAGCCGGCATCTGAAATTGTGCAGTTAACGAGTTTTACAACATTTCTATCAAGAGAAACTGTTTAGCATAACTGACTCTTAAGGAGTTATTATACCTCTAAAAATCCATTTTAAGGGGCATTATTTAAATAAAATAGAAAAACGGTTCACTGCCTTTTAAAGAGGCTACAAAAAAAGTCCATCAGCTCCAGCGCAGTAATCCTCAGCTTAAAGCACTCTTGAGAGTACTTCTGGGAATTGTCAGCATAATGAAATGTTTTGTGAAATGTCCAGATAGATTCCTCTACTCAACAATTTTACTGCACCATATTTATTTTCCTTCCAGTTTTTAAAGAAGTGAATTACTTTTTGAGAGGATGACTCTCTGTTGTGTAGATTAACTGAGCACATTATCGCCCAGGTTGTAGCAGAAGTAAGTGATGGTTCTGTTTGCAGTCACCTCGGCCTCTGCAGACAGGGGTGCACCAGAGAAAGGCAGCTTTCCCTTTAGTGCTTTGGCTCCAAAAGGGTTAAGTCACAATGAGGCTTACAGAGTTTCACATTTTCCTTGTGCCACATTTTCCTCAGACTTTTAAACAACCTTGGGACTCAGTGGCACCTGTAAATACTTTCTTTAAACTTTACAAAATGGCTCTGTTTTCATACCCTCAATAAATAAATGCAGGAAAACCGAT